GTTTCTTGGATGGAAATTTTGGAGCTGAATTGTTTAACGCTGCAGAATATGAAGAAGTTTTATATGATGTCAATAACGTTTGGAGCCTTGATGCCCCAGGACTATTAACATTATCCATTTTCGTTGTTTAATGACATCAAGTAATATAAATAATATGAACTTTTGAAGTAAGTATCTAATTAGATTAAAATTACTTAAAGATTTTCTCCAATAAGTTCACTAATTTGAGTTGAACTATGTATTAATTGTGGAGACATATTTTCTCCAAGAGTCACGTTTGGCTTTTTTAATGGTATATCTAGCGACTGCTCTTAATTTTTTTAAACTCTATAGAGTATTCATGAGTTTTGTGTCGTTTGAATTTATTAAACGTTTGTTTTGATTTTTTTAATGCTTCTTTGCACTCATGATCCCACCTTAGGTACCGACTGATGTTTGTGATCGTACTTAATTATTCCAACGTACTTATTTGCTGATTCTGTGATTACGTTTGTCAAAGAGTATATTGTTTTGTCTATTTCTACGTTTTTATTTAGGTTTTTAGATTGTTTTCAAATTAGAAATTTTGTCCAATTTGTGCCTTCTAAGTTTCATTTTAGTTGTTGCGAGGTAGTTGATTATAGTTCATTGCTTATTATAAAAGGGGAGTGATCACTATCATATAGATCTGGTAACACTTCCCATGTAAGAGTAATGTGTAATTGATAGTTCGCAAATACATAGATCTATACTGGAGCCTTCACCTGTTCTTATGTCAAAGCGCGTATGTTGTCCGTCGTTACGGATATTTTAGTTGACTTCTATTTTAAGACCTAGAGATATTAGTTTTGCTAAACCCCATAATGGATTATGTGCATTAAAATCACCAATTATTATCCGTGGAGCAGGTCGCTACCTTATAAGGTTTGAAATTTCTTTTAAATCGGGTGCTTTATTGGGGGGATTGTAAATATTGCAAATTGAAAAATAAATTGTGTTTATGACTCTAATTTCTATTGCTTCGATAGTTGTTGTGAGTTTTATTGTTAGCGTCAAAGTTATCTTTTATGTAGATTGCTACCCCTCCGCTAGCAATTTTCGCATTTTCTTGTCATGAGCTTTGTTGTTTTTGAAGTTGGTTTCTTGTTAACATATCAAACTAGGTTTATGTTTTGAAATTAATAATTTTAACATTTTTAAATGGGTTTAATACCCATTTATGTTCCATTCAATTAGAGAGTATAAAATGATATAATAAAAAGTTTTTGTAGATGCGTCGCTTTCTAAGAATGTTTGAAAGTCTGAGTTGATTTGCTTTAATATTTTATTTAAAAAAAAATTATAAAAAATCCTTTTGGGTTTCATTGGGTTTTTTAAAATTATATACCTTTTATAAAGAATTTTTATTAAAATTTTTTGTGATATATGGTATACAGCCAACTACAGTAACTTAGATTCCTTGTGGATTTTATTATTTATTCGAGTGCATTAGACTTTAATTTTTCGATCCTTCGCAAGAGTATATATTAGTTAATAGATCTCTGACATCTGCTGTTTCTTCTGTATACATTTTGGCGATACTCAACGGGTCTGGGAGTTCCCACAGTTTTCGAAAAAGTCTAATACCTGTTCGTAAGTTAGTTATCAAATAAAGTTTTACAGTATCTTGGCATTTCTTCTAATGTTTTTTGTGGTTTAACATTTTGATCTCATTTTACTTTCTTCTCTTTATTTTTTGGTGTAATAATAGTAGTTTTCTCTGTAGATGTAGTAGCTGGTAGAGAAATTTGTCAGATTGTGCGTTTGTTTTGTGCTTTGCCTGTGTTTATATGCATTGCCTTATTTTCTAGATCTAGTTTTGGGTCGTTTGTTATTTGTAAATCTTCTTTTGTTGACTGCATGTGTGGTTTTTGTTATTGGGTAGTTTGTGGTTGGGTTTCTTGTTATGTGCTTTCTTCTTTTGATTGTTGTTGTTTAGTATTTGTCTGGATTTTTTAAGTTGATAGATTAGTTGTATTTTCAATTGGGTCTATATTTGAAACTGGATTAATTGGTGTTGAATTATATGTTTTAATCGCAGGAGACATTGTGCAGTTTTTTGTTAAGTGGTTGTTGGTTTACTTACATGTTTAGCAAGCTTGATTATCCAATGATAGGTAAATCCTGTATATCGATTCCTTATGTGTGATAAGAAAATAATCAGGTAGGTTCTGGTTATTTAGTGTGTTAGTGTCTTAGGAAGGAGCCTTGAAAATAGAGATCAGGTTAAAGAAGTTCGTCAGGTGTACAGACTAATTTGGATTTAGAGAAAAGCACTCAACTATCGCCCAGGCCCATCAAATACCTGATCTAGTAGAAAAAGCAATAGAAGAGAACAATGTATCCTTTATCATCTTACTGGACGTAGCATAAGCGTTTCAAAGGGTATGGCATAAGTAGCTTGTGTACAAATTGAAATTCACACTACCAAAACCGTTTTGGTTATTTCTTAGAATCATGTATTACAGAGAAACTGTAATTTTTTTGTAGACTTTCCAGTCTTTGTTTGTGGACCTACCGTTTGACACCTCTTGAAGAAGATTTTAGGTTGTAAATAATCTAAGGCAGTAAATGAAGAAATCTTTAGACCACCAGCGCCAAGTTACTTAAAAGTTATTAACATTTATTACTTTCCTGTCAATATTATCATCATCCAGCCTTAAAAGTTCACTGCTAAACATAGTTCTTCATGTTCCCAACCCCAACAAAAAACCTTAGAAATTTAGCCTTTATACGATAGCGTATTGTATGCAAAGGAGCAGGATACAAGTACTCTTAGAAACCTCATATTCACCGTGTTAATGTGAGCGATGAGACGTTAAATTTAGTTCTTGGTCTATTTTGAAACTTAGTTATAATTTTAGTATGCCAATATCAAAAATAACACTACAAAATGGGCGTCCCATATGGGGCTACGCGCCAACGTATAAGACTGAGTAGAATTCAGAACGTGACTCATCAGACTAATTAATCTGAACTTTCAGCATCTATTTGCTTTATTTTTCTTGCATATGGGTATAACTCTTGATTAAAGCCAGTTTTCTGTCAAGTTTCCGACGGTATATGTTTTGTTCATAAATGATGTAAAAGTTTAAAGATTTTCTTCATTTACAAGTTTCATAATTTCTACATAATATACTTATATCATATGGACCTAATGGGCGACTTCAATGCTAAAGTTGGCCAGGGAAGAGTGGGTGGATAAGTGGGGAAATATGGTTGCCAGATGGAATAATTTGTAATAGCTAATATACTTTTTAAGCTACCAAAAAGAAGATTGTATACATGGAAATCTCCCGGTGATACAACGAATAGAATAATTCGAAATCAAATTGACTTTGTCCTCATTAGACAAAGATTTTGTAATTTTATACTGTCTGCCAAAACTTACCCTGGAGCAGACATCGTTTCAGACCATAACCGCATAGTAGTCACATAACGAACCAAATTAAAACTGGTTAAAAACCCACACAAAATAGAATTGATATTAAGAGATTAAGGGAACCACCAACAAAGGAACAAAATGTTATAACTCTTACTGAAAATCTATGTAATGCCTAAGAACTGAATGAAAGTAGCTATAACATTGATCAAAAATGGGAAAATATAAAAGTAGCAATAATTAAAACAGCAAATGAAAACTTAGAACCAAAGAAAAGAAAACATAAGGACTGGATGACTGAAGAAATATTACTATTAATGAATGAAAGAAAATCATTCAAAACAAAAAATCCAATTAAATATAATGAAACTGACTCACTAACTAAAAAGGGAATAAAATAAGCTAAGGAGAGAATGTTACATGAGCAGTGCCAAGAACTAGAAGGAAGGTCTATATAACTAGAAGGGTGGAAGCCTTATAATAAACGGTGAGCCACTTAATAACATAATTAAGATATGTTGACGACACCGTTCTTCTGGCAGGAGCACTAGAAGAACTGTAACACCTTGCTGAACAACTAATTATATATTGCAACTATTACGGACTAAAAATAAATTTGAAGAAAATCAAGTTCATGATATTTACAAAAGCACAAAACATCAAAGTTAAGCTAGTACTAGATAATACAGAAATTGAACAAATATCTTCGTACAAATACCTTGGATCACAGATCACAGAAGAAACTGATCAGACAAAAGAAATAATATGCCGCATTGGAATTGCACGGTCAACTTTTAATAGAATGAGAAAACTTTTTTGTAATCGCGATATCAATATATCGCTCCGGATAAGAATGCTTCGATGTTATATTTTCTCTAGCCTTTTGTATGGGGTTGAAGCTTAAACACTTAAAAAATCCAACATTAAAAACCTAGAAGCATTCGAAATGTGGGGTTACTGACGTATTTTGAAAATATCATGGATGGATTGCAAAACATACAAACAAGTTCTCGAACAACTAGGAAAACAATGCGAAGTTTTAAATTCCATAAAAATCAGGAAATTAGAATACTTGGGGCACATCATGAGGGATGAATATAATGTAAGGTAAAATCAAAGACAGAAGAAGCGTAGAAATATGTATATATATATATATATATATATATATATATATATATATATATATATATATTTTTTTGGCCTTAGGTACAAGACCAATTTAGCCAGACAATATAGCTATAAGAATAATTGTATATATATATATATATATATATATATATATATATATATATTCTTTTGTTTTTTATACTTCAATCCATTTTAATTTTTGTAAGATCTTTCTATGTTCATCAGTTCGAGGAGTTCTTTTGCCATCCATGTATTATTTTATTTTGTGTATTATCTTGTAGGTTATCTGTTTGTATGGTTGCAATTTTTTTTTAAATTGGCTAAATACTTTCCACTCACTTACCTGATTCTACCAACATTTCACTAAATTTTTGTTTGAGAGTACCATTGTATATTCTTTTCTATTTCTGATGCAATAATAACTATCTCTGCAATAGTAACTATTTATAAAACGAAAACATTTGGAATGATTCACTAAATTCTATTTTATATTTAAGAAAGCATGTTCCTTTTTACAAAAGTACTGTTTATACAAATAGTAACTATTTATAAAACGAAAACATTTGGAATAATGCGCTAAATTCTATTTTGAAATACAGAGCTTACTTTATTGCTTTGGTCGATCAAAGAAAGTCCCAAGTGAAACCATACATCACTTAAGTCCTCCACTAATCTATCCATTAATTCTTTGGAATGATGAGGCGTTGGAGCCAGTCTCAATTGTTCTTCTCCCTTAGCCACTGTAGGGTGATTAATAGCTTGGATATAGTGTCCCTTTTCTTTAAGCAAAATATCACAAATAGCACTACATTTAACAGGATTTCCGATTTTTATGGGGATCATATGGCTTGAAGTAGGTTCAACAGGAAAACCTTTCGCTATTAATAAGTTTCTTAAATATTTGACGTTCGTTTGATGTTTTTGTCTTAAAATTGTTCCTTCTTGCGAAGATAAAATTTCAATTGATTTATGAGCACCAGCAACAACGGCTGGAGGTAATGAAGTAGTGAATATAAAGCCTGGTGCGTAAGATCTTACCATGTCAGTTAAAGCATTAGTGCTTGCTATATATCCACCCATAGTACCAAACGCTTTACCTAGTGTCCCTGCTATAATGTCGATTTTGTGCATAACATTATCTCTTTCTCCAATTCCTGCACCATGTTCACCATATAAACCAACCGCGTGTACTTCATCGACAAAAGTAAGCGCACCGTATTGGTGTGAAATATCACAAAAGTCCTCCAACGGAACCACGTCTCCAGACATTGAATGTACAGTTTCAAATACCACTATTTTGGGAATGCTTCGATCTACAGTTTCAAGTAAATGTTTTAAATGTACCGGATCATTGTGCTTAAATATATGCTTTGGTACCCGGCTGTTACTAATACCACGGATCATCGATGCGTGGTTTCCAGAATCAGAAAAAATTTGACATTTTGGTAAGGCTTGAGCCAAAGTACACAAGGTAGAATCGTTAGCAACAAAACAAGATGTAAAAAGTAAAGCAGCGTCTTTCTTATGCAACTGGGCAAGCTGAAGTTCCAATTGTTCGTGAAGGAGCGAATTTCCCGAAATATTTCGAGTACCTCCAGCTCCAGTTCCGTAAAGTTCCAGAGCTTTACTGGCAGCCGCTTTAACTTCAGAATGGGAAGACATTCCTAAATAATCATTTGAACACCAAACAATTATCTGAGCATGTTTGTAAGAGTACTCTATGGCTGTCGGAAACTCACACGGCCCTGCCAGGCGGTTGATCGTTTTGAATACCCTGTAGGAATGTTCCTTCTTTTTCTTAAATATTTGCTGATCGAAGAAATTATCGTAGTCAAAGAAACCATCTTTATTTTTAGCAGCACTTGATAATATTCTGGATATAATAGGACAGTGTTTACCATATAATTGCAGTAGAAGTACGGCATAAGTTTGCACGTATTGTGTACTCAATTTTGAGAGGAATGGACAAGGCATCGTTTAGCAGGTATGCAACAATTATTAAAACTCTTATTTCGATTGGAGCAAAAGGAATAACACAAAATCCTTATTTAACACTATTAGGTACTTAAAAACAATCTTCAACAAAATCTCTAGTATGGACTTTTAATTTCAAGGATGTCAAACTGAATATGATCGTTTGTCATTGTCATTTATAACCTAAAATATTATAATTTTGTGAATTAGGACTGGTTCTACCCTCGTTTAGTTCATCACGTTTAAATTATACCTAGAGTTATTCGAACTATAATTGATTGCGCGTTCTACAATGGACGAGCGAGGACAGTATCCATATCGACTGTAATAGCTTTGTAGTTCTAATGAATGACAGAGTCGTTAAGTTTTCTGACACTGACAGGGGCACAATATTCACCTAAAATATAATTGACATTTATAATTGTTTATCTTTATTCTGTTAATATCATTTTGCACCGTTTTATTAATAGAAAATAGTGTTGGTGAGTTTAAAAGAGGAATTTAAAGAAATTGTAGGTAAGTTATTTATAAAATTTTGTTTTTGAATATTCAGACTTACTTATTATTACATTCTAGAATGCAAGCAAACGGATACCGTAACAACCAGCGGGAAATGAGCAGAGTGGCGATAAATAGAAATTTAATTTAATTCTATTTAATTCTATTATGTAGGAATATGCCGATTATAAAAAACAATTATACAAAAGAGGTGGTGAGCCAAAAAGAGATTTAGGACAGCAGCGCTAGTAATGGTATTTTAGCTATAATTGGCGTTGAAGCAACAGGAACAATATCACAGTTTAATTATGATTTTGGCATGCTAAATATGCAAAATATGTTTCAATATTTTTTATCCTGTAGTTATATATAATATATATATATATATATATATATATATATATATATATATATATATATATATATATATATATATATATATACAGTGTGTCCACTTAAGTTCGCACCATATGGGAAACTTTCTTAATATTAGTTTTACGAAAAAAAGTTATTCTTCATAAAAAGTTCTGCATGGTGTAAAAACTAAAATACAACCATCAGATATTAAAATTTTTCAGTCGTATACGAGGTATGTTCAAAAATATGAATTTTACCAAGAGCAAAGTACCTCAATTTTTTATAATTTCGAAAATTGTTATCAAGAAAATTTATTTAGAAGTCTACATGTTCAAATATATATAGCCATGTATACAAAATGTTTAAAATGGAGATTTTCTACATTTTGCTATTGCATGTCTACCCTACAACAGTAATAAATGCATAAGTACATTTTTAATCAAGTTGCCATGATATTTACATATCTGACATTAAACGTAAAATACATATTTGACAGTTACAATAAATTCTAATTAAAGATGCCCGTGGTATTGAATTTTTGAAAGAAAATCAGTTTAAACCATATAAGCCTAAATTTATTCATACATTGAAACCTAGAGACTACGATAAGAGAATAGAATTTTGTTTTCTTATTCAAGAAAAAATTAAAGACGATCCTTTTTTTGTTAGAAAAATAATGTTTTCAGACGAAGCTACATTTAATTCAAATAGAACGGTGAGTTCTCAAAATTGTCGATGGTGGAGTGACAACAATCCTAACTTCACAATTAGGACTCGTGATCAATATTCATTTAAAACAAATGTTTGGTGTGGCATTTACAAAGATAAAATAATTGGGCCATTTTTTTTCGACAATCCATGACCTCTCAGAATTATCTAAATTTCTTACAAACTCACGTGTGTGATTTTATTGATGACCTATCACTACATGAACGGCAACAAATATGGTACCAGCAGGACGGCGCTACATGTCATAGTACATTGGAAGTAAGGCAGTATCTGGATCATTTGTTTAACGGAAGAGTAATCCACAGATATTCAGAGACTTTTTGGCCAGCTAGGTCGCCAGATTTAACCCCGTTAAATTATTTCTTTTGGGGTTACTTGAAAGAGAATGTATACAAACAAGGGCCGTTTACAAACGTCCAACATTTGGAAAGGGTTATTACGGAAACCATTCAGACTATAACTCCCAACATGATTCGAAATGTGTTAAGAGAATTTTGTCGTAGAACGGAAACTTGTATTGAAAGAGAAGGTGGGTACGTTGAGGCAATGGCGGTTTGATCTAAGAAAATCTATAACTTAATATTTTTTGCAAATATTTTTAACAACTTATTGGTATAATTGCTATTCATGTTAGATCAAGAAGTAATATTGACGAAAAAAAACATTTTATCACAGATATAATACGGTTTAAAAGTTAAACTTTTGACTTACCAAGCATGTAAAAATTCGGTTCTAACAAGTAGACGTTACAATTAAAATAATATTAAAAACATAGGACATACCCACTAAGTCACCACATGTAAAATGTATTTTAAGTCTAATGTGATGTTTGTTGATGTTAGTTTTTCGTTAAAACAATCAGTTATATTAACATCATAGGCGTTCTGAGATTGTCTTTTTATGTGTTTTTAAATTAAGTTAAAATATATTTTGTTTAAATTTTTGACATCTTTTTTATCATTTATTGCGTTATTACTTTTTTTATTTGTGTAGACTCTATAAGCTCTCTCTTCTTCTTGTTGAGTTCACTTTTTAGGATCTTGGTTTTCTCAAAATCATATTTGTTTTTTTTTTCGTTTTCATGTTTTGTGAGGACGGTTGAGTTTTTTTTGTCATATTTGTGGGAACGTATTTTTGAGTTAAGTAGCTGACTGGTTTGTCCAATATAAACTCCATCACAATTGGAGCAGGGAATTTCATATACAACATGCGATCTTTTTAATAGAGGCGTTTTTGTTTTTAATCTTGTAAAATTCTTTTTCAAAAGATTTTGCCCTTTAACAAATATTCTGGATGTTTCTTCTCTATTTTCCTTTATTACATCATCTAGTACAATATTGAACAGGATGGGACCTAGTACACCTCCTTGTTGTAAGCCATCATTGACACTAAACTCGTCTGATTCCATATTATTTATTACTCCATAATATTTTTTGTCTATTTCGGTTCACGGGGTTCTATCAAATGCTTTTTCCAGGTCTATCAAGGCTTGGTATAGTTCCGTGCTTGTATTTAGTTCATTTTGTATTAGCTGCTTGACTGTAAAAATATGGTCATGGATGCTTCTTTCCTTCTTCAAACCACTCTGTGACTGCTCCAGCTTATGGTCTACTTCTTGTAGTAGTCTTTTCTCCAATACTAGTTCGTAAACTTTGGAAGGGATACTCAGGAGAGGTATACTTCTGTAGTTGCTGCAGTCTCGTCTGTCACCTTTTTTGAAAATGGGTAGAATAACGCCCACTTCGCAGTCTTTTGATATCTTACTCTCATTCCATGCTTTATTGTAAACTTTTCTAAGCGTTTCATTTCCATTTTCTCCCATATTTTTTAGCATTTCTGCAGTAATCTTATCATAACCAGCTGCCTTACATCTTTTAAGCCTAAGCATTTTTTGTCTTATTTCCCTTATTGTTATTTCGTTTTAATTTGGGTTCTCATGTGGGTTTTCTTCAGTGTTGTCTATATTATTATTAGAGTCTTCTTGAGTTAGGAGGTCTTCGAAATATTCTCTTCAGCTGTTGATAATACTTTCGTTCTCGCAGAGGATGTGGCCATCTTTGTTTTTAATTTGTTTTGGTGTTTGTTGTCTTTTGTAAAATAGTTTTTGGTTAGTATGGTAGTCTTTCTCCAGCTTATTCCCAAAATCCTCCCAGCTCTTCTTTTTTGTTTCAATCACCATGTCTTTTACTTTTGCCCTCTGTTGCTTATATTTTTGATAGCTTTCTACATTCTGGTTCCCTAGATATTTCTTTCACGCTAACTTCTTGGATTTAACCACTTCTTTTATTTTATTACTCCACCAATTTGTACATTGTCTGTTTTTATTGATTTTAGCCATTTCACAGATTTGCTTGCCCCCATCTAGAAGAGATTCTTTAAGTTCTTGCCAAGTTTCTTCTAAGTCATAGTTCTGGTTTAAGTGCTTTTGTAGACTATTGTTTACATAGCTTTTGTATTTCTGTGCTATTTTCCTATCTGCCAACTTGTATGATCTACTACTTGCATTGGTCAGGTTTCTTGGGGTTCTGTCTCTTTTTCTTGGTATCTTCTGTGTGCGTTTTTGTTCCACACCGATACTAGTTCGGGATACTATCAGGTAATGGTCGCTATTTATTTCTGCTCCTCTTCTGACTCTGACATCTTTGATACATTGTCTTAAGGGTCTGTTCACCAATACATAGTCAATATTGGACTTTTCTTCTCTATTCTTGACTTCTCTCGTACATTTGTGCACATCTTTGTGTTGAAAAAACGAATTCATAATTATCAGATAATTCTTCCTACAAAAGTCTATAATTTGTTGACCATTATTGTTTCTTACTAGTTCTCCGTGTTGTCCTAGTACATCCGACGATTCTTGGTCTTTTACGCCTACCATACCAATGAAATCGCCAATTATTATTGTGTTACCTTCTGCGCTATCTGTACCTGTACCTTATCCTGTAGATACAAATATTAAATGTAGAACTCTATGAACATATTTTTTTACAGATACAGAAATTACAGTTGAAGAGGAAAATAATATTCCTGAAGAAACTCTTGAAATTATCAATATTCACATTGATACAGAATTTACAGATTTGGAAATCATGGACCCCATGAGAACAGCATTACAAGTTTTAAATGTTTTCGGTAACTGATTTGTTAAGCATGTAATAAGCATTTTTTCTGTTTTATTTATAGATGCAGAGTGTGATGCATTGATGATGCAAAACTGGGAATCACACAGGAATGAAGAACTAGCTAACAAAATAGAGTATAAAGATTTTCAAATTAGTTTACTCAAAGAAGAGACAGACAAAAAGAAAAACGACTTGTTAAAAAATCATGAGTTAGAGATTAAAGTATTACTGGCCGACCTAAAAAACAAAAACACCATTTGAATCCTTTGACAAAAATAATATTTGATATTTATAAATTAATAAAATAATTAAACTTTTAAGTTTAAAAGCTTTGTTTCTTACTTTGTAATAACAAATCAAATTAAAATTATTTTCATCTTGTGTTATCTTTTATTTTGTGTTATTATAAGTCAGCAAAATGATTTAAAATGAGACAAGCCCCCATTCTGTTTTGTGACTTACTTTCTATCAACTGAT